TCGACCGATCTGTGGAAAACAAACTGGCTGTCCTGGGTTGGGCTGGCAGCTGGGACGGGGTACTCCAGGCTAGGCCTCATGATGTTTAAATCCACCCCCTTCAAAAGCTGTTGGTGGACATAAAGCTCCACTGCTACACGATCCTCAATGAATCAATGAAGATTCATACCCGTCAGGTTTTCTCCTACCCCCTGCAACGTACTGCGGCACGTTGCGCAAGGCTGTTTGTGCTTCATTTTCACAAGTTGGGGCCTGGTTCAATTAAATTGTTCAAGCCAACGCACGATTGTCTCAAGAATGATCCAGTCGCACGATTTCCGGCCATTTCGCGCGAAGTTTGCAACGCGCTGGTGAGGCCACCGGTGACGCAAACCCACCCGTCGTTTAAGATCCCTCGCGGGAGTCCATACATTAAACTCAAGGGTCTTCGAAGCCACTGGCAACATACAATTGTTCCCAAAGTTAATATTGATGCAGGCCCAGAGGGAATCCCGTATTGGTTTCCTGTTTTGGGAACCCCTTGAACACAACACACGCACACACATTTCAATTGAAACGATGCAAATTCCATACAAGCGATAGAAGTGACGCCGGACGTCTTTTGAGGAAATAAAGAAACTTCAACACCAATTGAGCAAACAAACCCAAGTCGTCTATAGACTGAGTCGATCCCTCACTTCAAGCTAAAACTTGAGCGGCTGGGGAGAGACCAAAGGCCCCCTCCCCCCACCCCCCCCGGCACCCGCCAGAAAAGATCAAGGTTCGAGAAGGGATCTTTGAATATTGAGGGAGGGGACAATGTGGCGGAGACTCTTGAGAGAGACACACTGGCAGACACAACGCAGAAATAGGGCTGGCGAGATCAAAGAGACACAACCCAACTTCCAACTTTGATAACCCCTACAAACAGTCAAAGTAAGGATCCCAGGAGGTTGGGAATCCTAGCCACACTTGAACGCCGCCTTCATCGAGCCTGGAAGTGCAAAATCAGCTCCATACAAATATCATGTGTATAAATATATATATATATGATATATAAACGTCATGTGTATATGTACATATTTATGGAACCGGAGAGCCAATTCCAACTCTGGCCTGACTAGGGATCGGTCTTGGTTGCGCTGCCACTCGTCCGCGGACAAGGCGCCTTTTCCATCCGAGATGTTGGGTATTGGATCTGCTGATCTGCCGAGTGGCATCGCCTCTTAGAGGTGCAGTGCGAATAGTTCGTCTACCCTTTGACAGTTGAGGAGACCCAGATCTTACTACCCCCAACGGGGAAATCAGGGTGTATACCTTTACATAGTTGTTCTATGGTGGTTGTAAAACCCCATGTTTCCATTCGGGGGTAGTGGTTTGCGAATGGAAACGACCTTGGATCGTGAAGGTGGATTCCCTTTACCACTCATATATGGTGTATCCATGGTTCCGAAGGGGCCCCTATACTCGCCGAGCCTTGCGCTTCCAGCTCGGCCAATCCCATGGGTCACCAGCGGCTTGGCAGATCTACCCTTTGGTCAGGTTCGGAACCCGGTTCTTACTCAACTTAGCTGCGTTCTATCCGACTGGCAACGCACGCACAGAATCAAAGCAGGAACCAGGGTCTCAGCTCATGCTGGCTCAAACGTGACTCCATTGTGGATGGTCCCAAAACCCTCACAAAGCAGTTGGGACTGGTGGTTTATCAACCATTAAGTCCGGATTCCATGGTTTTCTCCACGCCCAACCCAGTGAACCAGGCCTGAATCCAAGGGAACCGCTGACTGAAAAAGTCAACTCGGTGACTCGGTACAGGTCCCTCTGGTCATTGGAATGGGTCGGAGGCGTGCAACTCAGCAACTCGAGCATTCCGGCGCGCATGGCGCGAGGAGAAAGTGGCTGAGAATATTCCTGCTCGACACGTCGACAGGCAGAATTCGATGCCTGGCACAGAATATTCCTGCTTGACATGTCGACAGGCAGAATTCGATGCCTGGCCTGGCACAACGCAATGCGATGTGACACCGAGACTGCCAGAACATGAAGCATAGTACAAAAATGATCCAATGAACCCATCTGGCTGTGGCTCAAAAAAGTGGTACCAAAATGGCACCTTGGTAAATGGAACCAAAGACTAAAACCCGCGTAACCCCAGCTCTTTAATTTTGAGCCCTGCCCATCTCAGCGTCAAACCTGTGGTCATCTCTCGCGTCACACTCCGAGCAAAAAAGCGACACGTACCCACCGAGTTTGATGAACTCATGCGAGCAGGGCCCGTTTCACCAGAGCTCTATAGATCTAAGATGTCACCCCTCTTTGGTCAGCAAAACATTTGTTTGTTACTTTCCACCTAGCACAGAATTGCATAGGCGTCGAAAGTTCTATCACAGCCTAAGCAACATCTTGCATCTCACCTGCTATGGCCATGGGAACCGGTCTATTCCTTTGCCTTGCCCTGAAACCCGTCGACGCGTGTATCAATTATCAGGCAGCAATTGTGACCACTTCTGGCTACTGGAAGGAAATCCATGCCCACTAAATCTACACGTGAGCGCCCCTTCTCACGGCTGCCAAGACTTCTTCAGCTGTGCCTGGGGATGTGATTTTCATAACGTGGGGTTTCTTTCCAACCATTGACGTCAGCAATGAACTCATAGCCATACTCCATGGTATGAAGCACCGTGTTGGTTTCCCAAATGACGGTGAAACAAAACGGTTGAAGCTTAACCTTTTGGGTATCGGTATGTGTCAAAGGCGGAACCAGAATATGATTGTTTCCTCCTTGCATGCCTGACAACCCCCAAACAACACGCAGCCCTCTAAAACCTAATATCATCATGCGAGGAGGAAACAACTGGTCCTGCTATACACGGCCTCAGGATTTTCGGGCGCCGCTCATTCACTGCGGTATCTTGATACTCGCCTGTGCATTCACATGGACAAGCTAGGGATTGGACCCTCAGCGTCTCTTGGGCGACCGGATTGGTTCATCTCCGGTACATGTCTTTTTGGCTATCTGGCAGTAAACTAGCAGAGGGTATCGGGAAAGGTCAAGGCACATGCGATCCCGGACTTCAAAAACCGGCTCCCTTGACCCACAAGGTGGAGCTTGGATCCGGGAATCGTCCTGGCTCGAAAACGGGTGCAACAAAGTCGCTCGCCGCCCGCGACCCGAGAGAGACAAATGTTCCCCAAATGGGATTCGGTCTTGTCCTATGGTTCTGCCAAGTTTGACCCCGGCAAATGTCATCCCCAATAGGCTACCCAATTCGTTCAGCTGAGTTGGTGGGGAGGAAGCGCAACAAGCCCCCCCCCCTTTTTGGGAGAGGTTGGAAATGATGCTTTAATCGAAGGGTTTTGAAGGTGATCAGGGACCTTCAACATGGGGAAGGGGCTTTCTCCTTTGAGACAGACCCAGCCCGAAGGGTTGTTGGATCTGTTTTCGAATGCCCCAGTTCCTCCAGAGAGAGTTGCTTGAGCTTCAACAGAGCAGACTTGAATATAACCTTCCTGTTTGCTCATCAGAACATGACAATAATTCTAAGAGCTATAACAAGGGATCCCCGAGTAAAGCACCTACCATCATAGCCAGCTCTGTTTAGCTCGCCATATCGACATACCGAAGGGGTCGCAGGTGTCATTGCTAAAGACCATCCCATTCATTGCTCTTGGTACGGTGAAGTATCTACGCGCCCGTTGCTCATTGAACCACATAGGATTTGTTTTGAGGAAATGCTAAGACGGGTGCGCTGGGCGAAGCGAGCGAGAAAACAGGACAGACCTATTTTGTGGGATCTAGACCCTTGCAAGAGTGACTGGGACGAGCCAATCAGCTTGTTGCTTGAGTCGGGTGCCGAATCAAATATGAAAAATGGACGACAGCGCCAAGCGATTGATTCGCCCGAGGCAGATGTCAAATCTCAAGAGGCGAGGGGTTTTAGAGGCTTGGCCTCCGTCGGGCGACGATTGGCGGTCACCTCGACCCTTTGCTGGGCTATATTTGTTCAGGCTCGGTAACCACTCTGCTTGGGTTGTTTCAGAGAGTAAAGGAAAACCACCCATACCTCGGGGTCTCGAAAAAGGATCGACATGGATCGACACTCCATTTGAAAGTCACGTGCCGGGCTTCTTGCAAGCCGATGACAACATGACCATTGGATTTCGGCTCCACGGGATTGGAGCCGCGACCGAGCGCTCCTCCCAGATATGGCTGTGAATTTCAAGAGTGGAGACCACCTCGCAAGTTGTTGGTGCACACCCATTAAAATTCACACCCATTGGCCGAAGGCAAGAACGAAAAAAGCTGCGGACTCAGTGTTTGCCGTCCGGATGGAACCGGCCGGAATCCGCCAGGCAGGCGTCAAGGGCATATTCGGTTAGTGAGTGGTAAATTGGAACCCTGCATTTGTATCACCCGTGAATCAACCCCAATCAATTCATCGGACGGGTTTCTGAAAAAGGGATTCTTCTTCCTCGCCCGGCGCTTCCAGTTTCCAGGGGTGGCCGGGGCATTGCGAGAAGGACCCCCGTCACCGGAGGCACTGGGCGTGTAACCCTCCAGCCTTAGTTTCAATCCATCTGGGTGTCGAGGTTTGGCGGTCCTTCCCCCCCTGAAGCGACGCCAGATGTCCCAGGTGGAACCTAGAGGGAAATCATCCCAAAAGGAAAAAGGCCTACATTGCCTACATTGCCTACATGATTTACCCAGGTGGAAATCGCCAAGGTTTGGAGTGGACGCAGGACTGCCCAAGTCTGATTTGAGGGGCGAGATTTCAGGGCATTCGGGAACTGCCCCCCGACTGCTGCTAAACAAGTGAAATACAGCACAGAGGCTCATCATGGTTCTAGTGGAAAGTGCCAACCACTCAAAAGCAGGAAAAGGGCTGCTGGAAGGATTTTGACAAGAATGAGTAAATATGACACCTCTACAGGAACTAAAACTGGAATGGGGTTGTGGAGTGCTGAAAAACAACATTTCGTCACAATCATAGGAACACGCCAATTCTTTCGGCCCTTGTGTGAGCACAAGCAGATCATAAGCAGAACGCCTGCCGGACGCTCACAAGCTCTCGCAGCGACGACTTCTGCTGTCCGTCTTTCTTACGGACTTCTCATTTGTCATGGGCTTCTCATTTGTCACGGGCTTCTCATTTGTCACGGGCTTCTCATTTGTCACGGGCTTCTCACTGAGACGCACGAACTCCCGCAGACTCATGATCTTCGCCTACACCGGAACCCAAAGCCCTTATACTAATACAAGTAATATGAGGCTCTAAATCACTCCTGGTTCACTCTTATCAGGGTTTAATCTGGTGTTGAAGCACGCAACAACCACAACCCCTTTAAATGATCTATGCACTTATGCTAAACTGTTGGTCAGACATAACTTCAGCGCTTCCTCCTATGGTTGAATCCCGGGACCAAGCGATTTGATTTAGTATATCGGGGTAACGCAGGGTCACGCCCCAAAGCGGGCACCACTTGTGGAGTTCCCTGTGCTTCCCCTTCGACTTCAGTGTGTTTTGTCCGCTTGCGCGGGCAGTTCTAAGCTGCAGATTTTTCAGCCATCCCAGGCCCCAGGAGGTTTCCACCACGGTCCTCGCCCAATGGGTTCCTTTGCCGTTCCCAAGAGCCGTCAAAATTGTAATCTGCCGCGTAAGGAACTTATCTGGAATTGCTCAAAGATTTGTCACTTCAAACTTAAGGAGCGAAATTAGCATGACAACTCACAGCTTGAGTTCACAATCAAAAGAAGGAAAGTGCTGAACGTACCCTCCAACAACAGCTGTCAGAAGGGTAGTATTCGTTTAGCATTGGGTCAATGAACAGTAAAAGGGGCATTGTTGTTTTGGATTGCTGCCTGAACCATATATCATTTTGCAATAGGGGTACCTGCTAAAAACGTCTAAAAGCAACAAAACAAGCAAACCGGAAAACAAAAAGGAAAAGGGCAAAAGGGCAAACGGGCCAAAAGCTTAGTAAACAAAGTCTTTCCTTCCCTTGCTTCCTTGTTGTTTTTTGTAGTTCCCTCATGCGGTTCCCAGAGATTTCTCTGTTTTGCGAGCAACCCATTTGGGAAAACCAAAGGATACCTCTCCAATATGTTCTACTTTTTTTGGGGGCCCCCTGGGACTTTTCGCAGGCCGAAAGTTGCAAACACTGATTCAGCCAGAAAGCAGCACTTGGGGTTCAAAAAACCTTGGCTACAGGACCGCACCTTTGTCCCGCTGTTTCAGGCCCCGCTGTTCTCCCAAAACGACTTTCTCAGCCACGTTGAGCTTCCAGTCTTGGAGGTAGGAATGAATGAAGTTCCCCTTATCTCTACCTCCATCACTTTGCTATTACTGAAAGATGCTTAAGGAAGCTGTTAACGGCTGGGCCGGAGAGTGTGTAAGTGAGATGACTCGCGAAGGCGAGGGAAAGGACATTCTCTGTTCACCACCAATTCACTCGTTTCCTCGCTCTCGCGGTTACAGAGTGTGGAGAGACGAGTGAGTGATGCATGTGATCCTCGGTTTCGAGGTGCCTGTTTAACACCTCGAACTTCGCCCGCGCCATTCCCCGAGCCTCGGAACCCTGCAGGGGTGCAAAGTAGCCCTTATACCCTCCCACCACGGTACCTAGGGGATACCTTGAGGAAACGCATCCAGTCCTCAAACAGGTGCCATGTTCATGGGAGGGAGGGTAATTGACTCTTTGGGGAGGGGGGCATACACACAGACACAGATTCCACGAAGATAACCAATTCGGGTCAACACTACCCAGAATTTAGAGGATATCCATGTTTGGTCGAGGCAAAAGGAGACTCCTACCGTGCTTCACTTAAATGTTATTTAAGCGGGGCAATGCGGCGCCTTTGGGAGAAGCACTCATTCATTAGGTGAACTCTTCGCCCCCACCCAAACCCCTTTTCCTGCCCAGCAGCTAGGACCTCCCCCCTATGTCGATTTGTCGCAAATCACTGATGTTGTCTTAGTAACATCATGTGGGCGAACATCAAAGCCTGCATGCTTCCATAACAGGACTCCAAAACATGGTCCTGTTGCTCTACTCTACCTGAAACTCGTACAAGGAGTCCTCGATTAACATCTGCAATGCGAACGGGTAAAGACTTAACAGACAAAACGCTCAGGTGAGTACAAGCAACACGCCACTCACAAATGCTCCCAATATTACAAGAGCAAGCACAAATCAATTAGCCCCCTTGCTCCCTAACATCAACACATGTCAAGAGCCGTGAAATGAAAAAAGCTCAGCATGCTAACTTTGACTTTGGGTCAATCCAAAGGACAAAGGGTGGTTCCCCCGCAAGGGCGATGATCAATTCTAATAATTTCCCACCGCCCGCACTTCTGTCATTCGGCCCGGCTTGGCGAGTACCGCGTCCGATCCGAGGCGCATCGCTCTGTAGGAGGTCGATGATCGTGCTGTGCGAGTCCCCAACCTGGGGCAGGGTTCAGCAAGGTTGCGGGTATCCTTTTCCCTTTTGGTTTGGATTGTGGTTGTTTGGGTACTTGTGTGGGGAAACCCTGATCTTTGGGACCGTGGATTGGTTATTGCTTTGGGGTCTTTCTTTTGTGGCTTGTTTACCTCAACTTTTCCAATTGCCTGGGCACAGGTCTGTGCCCGAATCACAAAATCTAAATCATGGAAATTTACAAATCAAAGATATATTGCTTTATTCAATATCTTTAAGTGAATGTAGTTGCAGTGAACAACTATCATTAATCCCGAATTTAGTTATTGATATTGTTTTCTGAACAGTTACTAGAATTGAAAATTAAACAATGAATATTATCAGTATTGTTTCAGTAACGCCCAAACTTAAGTTCGAATATGTTCAAATATGTATGTTTTTACATCAAATTCTTATTTGAATAAGTTTAAAGATTGATTGATTCAGCGATGTACATATACAACATTTGAACTATGAGATGTTTTGATTGTAGTTTATCTTATATTCTTAGAATGTATAATTGATTTTATTCGATATATTATTATCTATCACAATATGCATTGATATATTATGTGCCTAAAACAATTGTTACCTGATTGTTGTTTGAATTTAAGCCATACGATGGGAGAAGGGCACCAGAGAAAGAGAGAGACAGATGGCTGTGCTTTGAGCTGGTGATGGCATATGTCTCCTTCTGTATGATCCCATCCCCGAAAGTGCAACAAAACATCGAGAAAACAAAACAAACACAAAGGATGGGGGGACACTTGAGAAGTGCTAGCTGATATGGCAGCAAACATACAGCAAATATTTCATTTGGAAACCTTTGCTGGTGACGGGGACAGACGTGCTGTTCCTCAGGAAAGTGCAAAACGCCTCGAGTTTAAAAACAAAAAAAATGAAACCCTATGTCAGACATGCGTGGGTCATAGGGACATTTTTGATTTTTTGGAAACTCGAGGTTTTTTTGTGTATTTCCCGAATATGCAAAACGCAGGCCCCATGACGACCCCTTCTGCAAGAAAACGACACAACCATGACCTCGGCCAGCCCTGGTTCGCCCCACCCAATGGCCCAAGGCGGTTTGACCTACATGGATTTTCCTGCAAAGCCCGCCCTCCTTTGCGACCAACCTATGGGAAGAGCAAAGCAAAACTGGTGTGTTTGAGTAGGAGCACTTGTGGGAAATCAAAGCCCTCCCTGGTCAAACTCTGACTTTTGATTTCAAAAAGACGCTGGATCGAGCAGAAAAGGTCAATTGCCATGGCTCGTTGGCGCGCCGAGCCATGTCCAGGGCAGTGTGTCCCTGGGAGCTGCGCTGCTGCGTCTCCGCGCCCCTGGCCAGCAACTCCCGCAAGACCTGGGTCTCCCCAAGCTCCGCGGCCAGGTGGATCGGGAAAAGAACCTCCTGCGAGGCGGAATTCTCGTCTGGGCAATGGGAGGCTCATGAGCTGCTTTTATCCTTAAAACAAAAGCTCTAAAAACTCCGGGAGTTCAAAAAGGGCGGGCAAGCAAAATGATCCAAGGTCCAAGAAAAGGGTACCATGTCAAAGCAAAGGGCAACGGAGATTTGGCAGGTTTCGGTCATGGTTAGTATCTCCAAGTCTTCCCTTGTTGCTGCTCAAAATCCTTCCCCGCAAGCTGTCGAAGCCGAGGGTGTGGTTTTTTTCAATGGGAACACAACTGATAAATAAAACCCTGGTTGATTTATGGCGGGCGTGAAATTCAAGAGGAAATTCAATTCACTCGGAACCCCTGATTTCAATCCCCCAGGTGGGTAAATCCGGGGTCAACATGCCAAAGGAGCCGTGCACATGGCCACACCAACATGTCCGGATTCAGAGCAGCAAGGGGAGCCACTGACAGCCTAAGAGCCTAGTGACTATTAGGGACAAGTAAGCTCTTCTCCCCAATGGAATGCTGCCGACACATACAACTTCAGGTCTTCCACGAAGTTTGAATGGAGTGCAAAAAAGAGCCGGCAGATGTGCGGTCAACCTCTCCCTCATGGAATGCAGCCAGGTATGGTTGAACATTGGCCAGCCACTCCCCATGGCCTGTGATGCAACTTACCGGAGTATTCAGGTCCATGACCTTTTGTGGCTCCCCTTGCGACTGGGCCCCAAATCAGTAATCGTCAGTAATCATGATTTCACGAAGTGCCACAAGCAGCATGTCACAGCCAGGAATTCACCAACATCAGCACGATGTGCTTCTTTCAAAAAACTGCTTACTTTGAGGCACTGTCACGATTCCTTGCCAAGGCGACAGCGCTCCCAACTTTTCCACAACAGCGAGCGGTGAAATCCGAAACAAACGGGTGGCTTTTCCAAACAGCAGCAGGGAACATGTTTGCGAAGGCTTCCCTCCATATCTCACTTCGGGATTGTCCAAAAACCAATAACACAACTGGTCCCAGTGATTCCATGTACCCATACAGTCAGCCACGAAGAAACTCACCCTTTAAAACCAAACGAACGAATGGTTTCCTGTTATGGTGGTACCTGGTGGGAACCACTCAGTGTTATGTCCACTGGTCCCAAGTTTACAGGGCCTAAAAGGACCCCGCCATGCTGAAGGGATCAAAGAGACCCATAGTTGGACCCGATAGATGACAAAAAAAACATGCACATCATATGGCCATGGGTGAACATCTGCATCACCACTAAAATAGGTGCTAAAATGGGTGGTGCACCTACCCCGCAATGGGATCCCATTGGGTTTGACCCACAGGGATATCCATTCATTGCAGCTTGTTTGCTTACAACGCGCATGATTGCTTCGGTTGCTTTGCTTTGCTCTTGCATCGATCTTGGTTCAACAAGAAAAAGATCCCCGGTCAGCTTCCCTCTGATTGGCTTGGATAGGTTTGGTAGTTTGGGACGGCTTCCCATTTACCCTCTATAAGAACCACCCTAAGGATCCCAACTCTTTTCAAGGCGTCGTTTGGCATCGGGGACCCTCAAAAACAGAATGGCGAGGGGCTATAGAAACACGCCCCGCTCATAGCGAGGGCCCCGGCTGCCCAGGGCCATTGCGGGCTGCAAACCTGATCCTTCAAAAATGCATCGCTTTGACCACGGACCATTGCCCCGCACACCGGCCTGGCTGCCAAACAGAAGATTCCGTTGCCACGGCCAAATCGGACATAAAGCCAAAAGTGAGCACTTGTTGCAAATCAAAAATCTCTCGGACGGCTTTCCGACATCTGCTTTGCGATGGCGTTAACCTTACTCGTGCTGGCATTCCGCGGCTTCCGACAACTTTCCGACGGTTTCCCGACGTTTCTGATGGCTTCCCGACGTTTCCGACGGATTCCCGACGTTTCTGATGGCTTCCCGACGTTTCCGACGGATTCCCGACGTTTCTGATGGCTTCCCAACGTTTCCAAAGGCTTCCCGGCGTTTCCGACGGCTTCCCACTCTCATGCTTGTGCTGTGGCTTGGCTCACGCCGGCCAGGAGGCTTTGGATGCGCGCACCCAGATTTGGTTCGGGGATGTTATGTACCTGCATGTCATGATGCACGCGGAACAGGGAAGAAACTTGGAGGCAAGGCAGTGCAAGAAAATTCTCAATCATCACCCGACGGCTTCCCGACATTTCCGACGGCTTCCCGACGTCTCCGACGGCTTCCCGACGGCTTTCCGACGCTCGGGCCCTCGCGGGCCCTCGGTTTGCCTAGTTTTGAGGGCCCAAGCGTTAGCTTCCCGATGAGTTTCCAACGCCGACCCTGACACGCACCGATAGGCACTCAGCTGGCCCGTAAAGACAAACTGTGATTTTACGCCAAGAGCAGCGATAGCGCTTATTAACCAATTGAACTACGCACAGCAGGCCATTCTGCTTTCAGACACACACACACACACACGCAAACAAACAAACAAACAAACAAACAAACAAACAAACAAACAAACAAACAATGTCAGCAACTTTTTGGCAAGCACGGGGGAGTTGTCAAGAAGCTGCACCATGCCAAACATCAGAAAGACACACCACCAGCCAACAACTTGCAACATGTTAACAGGTAACACGTTGCGGATCAGACTGTGGGCTCAAGCCGCCCAGCCTTCACCTACATAGCTCCTGGCCGCTTTTACTGTTTTCTGGACATCGGAATTTTATTCTTCGCAGGGGTGTGGTGGCCTGTGCTCTCAAAATGGGTTTGCGCCCTCGGGGCGACTTCCAGTGCCCCGGAACGTCGTCAGCAGGGTATTTAGGCCGGATCTCTTCAATGCACATCCCGACCCTTCCAATGCACACACCAAAGAGCCTTAGGGCAGGGGTTCAAATCCAAAACACCACTCCCAACTAATTGAGGGCGACATGTGACCAGCAACATGGAAACACAGGTGCCCCTTGAGCCATTGAAACCCCAAAGCCGAAGGGTCCGACGCGCATATTTCCGCAATGAAAAAACACGCGCAAAAGTCACGCTTCCTTTGTGAAACTGGAGATCCAAAATCAACGAAATATCCCACTTGGGGGGGTCCCCTGTTTGTTCCTTTCTGAATAATTAAACTGGCAAACCAAAACAATCCAAAAGGAGATTTGGATACAAATCCAGTAAACCGTCCTTTGATCCCTGAAAGCAACGGTCCCTATGCCAGTTGTCTCCTGACGGCAAGCGCTAAGCTTCCGGAAGCAGCGTCTCGACAGGTTCACGCCGGGGAAGTGGTGTTGCTTCAGAAAATTCTCTAGACGCTCCTTTGCCTTCGCCTCGGATCCGACGAACAACATGAGATATAAACCTGATTTGGCAGCATGCTCAAGTGCATCTTCCTGCAAAGGGATCGTAAAAGATCTTACAAAGGTCCTGCTACAGGCATCCCCTTGTTGACGTCAAGACGTAACATGCTCCGATTGGATTGAATGAGAGAAATCCAGGGGCCAGCGGTCCTTTCAGTTCCCTTAAAAACAACCCCCGACCAAACGTGGTTTGTCGAGCAATAACAACTGACCCGTTTTCACATTTGCCCATCCGACCAGTTTAGGCCCCTTCAAGTGGCTGCGTGCATCGCGCGCTCGGGATTTCTCCCCACAGCGACGTAAGAGACGTCAGAGAGGCTAGAGACGGTGGAGCAGGTCGACTCAGATTTCCTGGGGCTGGGGTGCAAAATGTGGGACTATTTTTCTCTGCCCAAAGGACCCAAAAACAACAGATTAACCTTACCCAACATTAAACATGGAACATATCTGGGAAACCAAAAGGTCAAAAGGTCGGGCTTGGACAAGAGTGTTTCTTTTGGCCCCCCCCAACAAATACGAAAAACAACCACAAAAAATGTGGTTGCGCTTTGGGTTTCCATTAAAACCACCCACAAAGGGGCAACCTAAAAAAAAAAAAAAACATCCAATATGTTGAAACCGTCAGATCCTAGCCGCCTTTTCACGGAAACCAACTGCGCCAAACTTAGACGGGCGAAACGGTGAGACCAGCCCACCAATATGTTTGAACACCACAGTTGCGAGGAACCCAACAGTCAAATCAGACCTCTTGTGCCATTGGAAGCTCCATTGGAGACGGAACAGGGACCTTCCCAGTTTAGGGGGGGTCTTTCTAGGGAAATCCATTTTGGTTGGCTTTAAAGAGAACCGAAAGGGACACCACTTTTAGAATGTTCCCTGATTTTAAGTAACAAACCCATTTTGAGGCCCATCCGGGTTTATCCTCTAGGAACTCGGAGTTCCCGACCTCGGACGGCTCCAATCCGGAATTTCGCCCAAGCCTCTCGCCAATGTCCTGGGAACCTCCATTTGCTTTTTCGTCCCCTTCGCAAAACATCCAGCACCACTCCCCAACAACTGCTTTGTGGGCAGTACTTGAGATTTTGGACATGGGATTGGGGGGTTCTGTAGTCATACATTCCCTTTAAAACCAACGGAGAAAATTGTCCAATCGTCTTAGGCAAATGGAAGAGAAAAGGCCAGGTCCATCTTACTTCTGAGTGGCAAGCTTCCCGGGATGACCTGAACAATTACCCCATGGACTATTTTCACATAAAACCTCCTTTTGTTTTGAGCGTTTCAGCGCCAAGTTTCGGTAACAAGAAGACAACCGTTTATGCCCCTTGCTGGTTTCCGCAAAGCCATGTGGATCACTTGGAAACGAATTGCCAACTCCATTTTGCGTGGCAAGAGTGAGACGGTCAATTTTACCCTGTGTTATTGTGAGTTTAGCCTACTTTAAAGCCTTTGGAGTGTGAAAATTCGACCGCGGACGACCCAGCAACAACTTGCAGGATTTTTGGGAGGTGTTGTCTGAGAAGGCAAGAGGCGCAATCACCCAACGATGGCCCCGCTCGTTGTCGCAAAGGAAATAAGCCCATGCATTGGCCCCAAGACTTAAAACTTCTTGGTTTTGGCCTTTGCTTTTACATTCGCCTTCTCCCAAATTGAGCAGAGCAAGAAAAAAGCTGAGGCCAGGGCCCCCCAAAGTCCATCAAGGTGCCAGTTTACCCCTAAGTGCCCATCCAAAACATACGTTGAAAAACGCGAGGATTGACCGACTCGGTGTCCCAAATCCAATAGGGTGTGCACCCTCCACCGGTTCGCAGGGCAATGATATCCCTTTTTGTTTCAGGATTCAGCATGCAACAGCTTCTTCATCCAAAAAGCAGCTGGGGTGCTGGATCCTTGATCCTGCAGCTTTGGGCAAATACGCCATGCACCACGCATTCCACCCCCGCCCTTGCGTCTCCAAGGGTCACATCCTTGACCGCGTTAAGCACCGCCTCAGAATCCAACCAAACTGCCTGGTAGCTTGCTTTGAGGCTATTTGAATCCACGCGCAAAATATCCCAAAATATCCTGACGTGGTCAGAAAACGAGGTCAGCAGGTACCCGATGTGTCTCGCAACAGGACCCCGCCCCCCAAACAAGGGCAATGGAAAACGACACACGCATCTGATGGTCTGATGGTAGCGGAAAAACCCCTGACTTGACCCGAAATGGCCGTAGGAAAAGCATGTTTTTGGGTAGCTTTAAGGCTTCAAGTATGGAGAACCCCTCGGTTTAACGGGCACCGAAGGTCTGGGATTCCTACCTGGTTGCAACGCTCTTATGATCAATGGGCAACATCCACCGCTTTAAAGAAGGCCGCTTAACCTTCGTTCCCGCAAGGAAGCCAATGGAAAGTGATATCGTGGAATCCCTGTGTTCTCCCACCCAAAGGAATTGATGTGGGGCCTTGCCAAGATGCAACTTGCAGCTCACGATATGGTTAGCCCAATTTTAAAGCTGTTCTTCTAGCCGCTCCAGTGAAAATCCAGCGCCGCTCAAATGAAAATCCAATGCAACTCCAGTGAAAATCCAGCAGCACTCCAGCGAAAATCACGTGCCACTCCAGTGGAAGTCTAGCGCCGCTCGAGTGGAATCCAGTGCCACTCGCATGAAAATTCCAGAGTCATTCCAGTGAAAATCACATGCAACTGCCACAGCCATTCCAGTGAAATTTGAAATTCCAGTGCCACCCCAGTGAAAATCTAGCGCTACTCCAGTGAAGATCCAGTGCCACTCCAGTGAAAGTCAAGGCCAGCCAAAAAAAAGTCATCCGCAAGTGGGCTGGCTTGATTTGCACTGGAAGCACACAGGACACCACCGGATTTGCACTGGAGTTGCATTCGGGCTTTTAAACCCCCATTGTTTGCGGGGAAGAGGCCCTGCTTGAAGAGCCCGCTGATGTGCTTCTAACGCTTCTAAGATATGACCCCAGACCAATAAATGATGAATCCCCACCTGCAGTGGGGGAACCCCCGAACAACAATAAACCAAAGGTTTACTGATCCAGTGCTCCGTTTTGTTGGACAGAGGGGGATTGCTTCGCACCAACCTTCAGGGACTTCGGATTTGCTTTTTGAGCTGAGATGTTGGCTTGAATTTAAGTTAGGGACCCTTTGGTGGACATCATTCCGGTTGGGATTTATTGTGCCGGCTCTCACAAATCATCGCTCAGATTGATGAAACCCTCGTGGAACCCACGACGTCCATTCGGGATCTGTTTTTGAGGGTACTCTTTCTGGGTTGGATTTCAAGAGGAACTTAAACGGAGAACTGACATGGGGATCCGATTGCTCAAAAAGGCTCACCCAGGGAACATGGTTCCTGTCAGGCTCCGTATGGAGCGCACTCACCCAAAGGACCTAAAATGTGAGCACCTGGGGCCAAGAGCAAACCTGAAAATGCTCTCAAATGACAACAATAGTTCATTTGGTAAACTCGGTTCTTCCAAGTGAGCTCTGAGAGGGGAAGCCTGCGGCTTGGTGTCTAAACCAGCGTGAGGTCTAATTCGATCCCCAATTTGCGCAGGGACATGTTCGGTAGAAAAAAGGAAAACAACAAAAACAATTCGGAATCCGATCTGGGAGTGTCCACCGATTTGCCTCCGGATCCCGCCGAACCCATTCCGGGCCTATGGGCAAGGCTGGCTTTTTCAGCAGAAGGTCACTGTTGGAAGTGGGTGTCGGTGAAGAAGTGGGCAACTCTAAACATGGGTTGTCTTGATAAATTGAAAGGGCCAAATATCCTGGTGACTAATCTTGGCGCTGCCCCAAAACCCATATTTATCTGGTCTATCCTCAGATCCCCCGCTAAAGGTCCAACTTTTGGTGGCTCAAATGGAAACCCCCACTAGACACCAAAAGCCTAACAAGCCAAGGAGCCGGATGGCTGGGAGCCACCAGTTTTGCAGTTCCCCCGGACCACTCCGGACCACTCCCCCGTGCCTCACGCGAGGCCCCCGCCTTCAACGGGAACGGCTCCGCCGGCGCATCACAGGTCTCCAAGTCCCAGGGCTTCACCGAGCTCCGCAGCTGCGCCAGGCCCTCCATGGCCTGCCCGGCCCAGTGGCTTTCTGCTCTGCTACAAGGGTCTTAAAAAAAAAAAAAACTTTTGGTAGTTTAATGGAAACCCCTTTAGCGGTTTTAATGGAAAACCCTGTAGTGGCTTGATGGAACACCCATTAGTTGGCAAAAAGTTTTAAAGTCCTAACATCCCTTGGCAAAATGCAAAGCCGGGCTCTCGCCGATGAGGACAAATCACTTTCCGGCCCAACAAAACTCCGAGTCAAGGCCTCGCGGTTTGCAGTTTTTTGTTCTCCAGGTTTGGGTCGATGAGTTGGACCTTCTCCACATTCGCCCATGAGGGCTCAGGTTTCTTGCGCTGTGAATTCCCCCAAAACCGGTATTTGGAAGGGTTGAAACCATTTTGGCTGTGAGAGCAAATTGGGTTTGTGTTTTCAACAGAAATTAGGAGTCTATTCAACTTCTAGCCTTAAACTTACTTAGTCATAGAAAACAACATTGATGTGTTGGGTATTTGGATGGTCCGTCAACAGCCGCAAGCGACTCAACAAACTCCCCTGAACTGCACCGCCGTTTGAACCTTCTTTTCGCCTGTGGTATACCCTTTTGAACCTCTTTGTGGTTGAGTTCTGAGCAACCTTTTGGATTGAGGTCCGTTTTGCACACTTCCTGAGTGGATTTACCAGCAAGAGTCTGAACGTTTTGTGGTTTTACCACTTAAATGGTCTTCCCAAAAGTACAAAGTCCATGCCACTCGGGGAGTGAGCTTTTTGAAAGGAACTCTCCGGTCGAAATTGAATTCATTCGCATCTCGTTTCAGCAGCGGCCTTTCGGGGCTCGTCGCTCGTCTCGCCTGCCCACCAGGCCGATGGAGATGCCCACGTGCCAAGTTTTGGATTAAGCCAAGAAGGCTGCGGAGAAAAACCAAAAAATCAAGCAATGCTTGCAATCAAACAAGCAAACAAACAAACAAGCAAACAAACAAGCGAGCAATCCAGCAAGCAAACCAACCAAACTAACACGCAAGCAAGCAAACAAGCAAACAAGCAACCACTACTGGTCTCTACTCGACACCAACCCTCTTCTGGTTCCCTGTTGGTCTGGCCAGCCGATTGTCGGGCCTTGACACACAGCCAGCGTCGCCAATTTTCAGACCGGGAAGCAAAGGTGAAAGGACCACGGTCCAAGGGTGCATCCAGAGGTTCCCACGAATCAAACCGGCGAGGTTTCACGGACCCGGGGCACCAAGCCGGAAATTCTCTCGGACAATTGGTTCATAGGGTCTGCTTCGAAGGAAACTCGAGGGGAAGCCGGCGTGGTGTCTAAAGCATCGTGAGGTCAAATTCGAAACCCAAGTAGCGCAGTGGCATGTTCGGTAGAAAGAAACAACTCAGAATCCGATTTGGGAGTGTCCACCGGTTTTGCTCCGGATCCCGCCAAACAAAAAGAGGGCAAGGCGCCCCTGAATCCATTCCGGGCCTCTCATCGAAATTTGTTAAACCCCATGTTAATTGTTCAAGCAAACTAGTTTGACGTTTAAAGGGAACCAAGGGCCAGGGGCTGGCTGTTTCAGCCAGATTCGACTAATTGTGAGTGCATCGGCAAGACCCTTTCAAACCAGTGAATCCCCCACACATGGTTGCTTGATTCTAATGGGTACCCGCCCTCCAAAAATAACAACGGCGGCACTGGGCTGACTGTTGCCGTCATTCCTAGTACCCATTGCCCTCTGCCCAAACGTCTAACTTCCCGCTGTTTAGAATACATGCTTCGCATCAAGTTAGAGGCATAGCGGAGCCGATTACCTCACAAGGTTTTGCAGTCGTCGCTCGCAGCCAGCGATCACAAGTTTAGTTTTCGGCACGCCTGGCGAAAACGACGGTTACCCCGCGCTTCAGTTCGCAGACGTCAAGCCGATTCCACGAGTTCACGTAAAGAATTATTATCAGAAAGAGGGGTTGGACGTTACAAACCAAACAAACATAACCAACACAACTCGGCAAAAGCCGCTCGAGGGATCAGTGTCTTATCCAGAACGTCCATCCCAAAAGGCCCAGTCATTTTAACAGTAAGGTGTCCCCGCCGCAAGTCAGGCAGCAACGGAACAAGAAAGCAAGCAAAGCTTCGGCCCGTTTTCGAGCAAAACAGGTTGATGGGACAAGGCAGCCCCTTCACAACACCTCAATTGGACTGTTCGAGGTTTCCTGACCTGTACGCAGAGACACGTTGCATTTTGCAACATGCAACTTGCCCATGTCCAGGCGACACAGGGAATGGAGCGTTTGGGTTCCCTGAGTTGGCAGGATTGCATGACGACCGCAAATCTGGGCCCCATTAAGTGGATTTACAAATCATAACACCTACCAAGTGGGTGAAGATCTCGGCGTGTGAAGGCTCCCCGAATTTCCTTAGAGAACCCACCGCGCGATCCCTGCGGGCTAAATCGGGAGGTCTGGAAGACCCCCTTGTGGTTTCCAGGTGATGCAACACCACAAAACCAGCCAGGCACCGAGCTGCGCAAAATACTTGCGCGCAAACCCCTATGGCACCCGACAGACATTTAGGACGCAGCTGTAGCTGTAACCCCACCTGAGATTGTCCAATCTCTGCGATCCTCATCACTGAGCTGCGCATTGATGCGAGATGCGAAAGCCATGGCATTCTTGAGTTGCGGTTGAACACCTAGACATGCTCGCACCCTCAAACTCCCCAAACAAAATCAGACTTTGCCCCACACTCATCATGGCGTGAATTCCCTTTTTGTCAGGGCAATTTGAGCCCAGGTCCGCAGACCTAGCCTTGAACTGCACAAGGATCGCCGGGCCAAAGCGGCAAACGGCTTGCACCCCCCGTCCCACACATGAGGTGACTCGGGGAGTCTGATTTAACGGAGAGGCATCGCCACTCAAAGACTCACACAGGTGCCTGACACTCGTACCCGTCTGACGGCCTCCTGGGACCCGGCCAGTCGCAAGAAGTCGCGCATGGGCATTATCTGCACCTCACTCCAGGAAACAAAGCACGGACACAGGTATATCTCAAATTGGAACACGGACACGGGCATGTCTCCAATCAGGCCATCTGTTTTAAGATGTATTGAAAAACAACCTGATGCACCCCCCCCCCTAGTCAGTCTTGAGAGGTATGTCGGTGCGGATTCCTTCTTCAATTTGGTGCCTTACAGTACCGACAGCCTATCAATCAACAAGAAACCTGGCGCTAACCAGGTAGTTCAAGATCGTCCCATCCATCCATTCATCCATCCCTCCCTCCCTGCCTCCCTGCCTCCACCCACCCACCTATCCACCCACCCGCCCATTCACCCCATCCACCCATCTACTCCATCCATCCATCCATCCGTCCATCCATCCATCCATCCATCAATCCGTCTGTCCATGCATCCATCCATCCATTCATCCATCCATCCATGCATCCATCCATCCATCCATCCATCCCTTCATCCATCCATCCATCCATCCATCCATCCATCCATCCATCCATCCATCCATCCATCCATCCATCCATCCATCCATCCATCCATCCATCCATCCATCCATCCATCCATCCATCCATCCATCCATCCATCCGCCCGCCACATCTACTCCATCCAACCCATCCACCCATGCGTGGCGCGCAGAGACCTTGTTGAGCGCAGCCTTTGCATGTTCTGGCGAGGCCATCTTTGCAGGAACTTTCCGGCAATGAACCCACTTCCACTACTTGGGCAGCCACAAAGCACTTGGTTTTCTTAGTGTGGCTGAAAGAACCGAGGTGATCTTTCAGTCTCGTGCAGACCCCTGAGTTTCTGCTGACTGAGGTGGAAGGTCTTTTCATGAAGGAATCCGTGGTGTCTAAGTCCTGTCAGCAAAATTTATCATGGCCATATCGCCATGGTACCCTGGATAGGACCCCTTATAAAAGATGTCTACATCACATACTAAGAGTCGGATGACCATCCCTGTCTGGAGATTCCTCCTCGGTGGTTTGGGCATTGTAGGCGTTCCGTGTTGATTTGCGTTTTGTGTGCGGCGTTGTGGCGGCGCATGCGTTGAACTTTGGCAGGCGATTGGCGCCCTTTTCCGGGCAAGCCGAAAACACCATCAACCCTTTTTCTAGGAGAAGGGATGTCCAGGTAGCAAGCCCAAGCTTACGAGTGTTTTGACCAACATGCGCCTGCATGGAGGGATGCTCAAGGATGCTTGCAGCTCTCAGTGCACGGCATGCATCAGCAGGCAACGTTGCAACTAGCCTACTTCTCAGAACCTGGCATTGTGCGCAAACACTCAAACCTGGTCCATGGATGCGCCGAAGACCTAGACCTGTTGCCTCCAGCTGGGATCATTCTTCGTGACATGCTTAGCTCTCATTGACTCTGTGAACTGCATGCAGTTGACCAGCTCCTGCAAAGTTGTCTCTGCACGCTTCTGCACTGCATGCAGTTGACCAGCTCCTGCAAAGTTGTCTCTGCACGCTTCTGCTTCTCCGTGCTTTGCGCAGACTCCGGACACTCTCTATGCAGCTGCCTCCTTGCATGCTTCAAGATGCAAGGCGGGGACCAACACTCAGGGCCTAATGGGCGGGTGCCATGGTGCCATGGTGCCATGGTGTCATGAAGCCATGGACACCCGTGCTCCCTCGCCGGATATGTTCCTTGGGGTCCCATAGAACTGTTTTGGCCTTTGGCCTGGCCTATGTTGCGGCTGCGGTGTTCAGTTGGCTGCTTTTTGTCTTTGCACACCAGTGTACCTCTTTGCCGCGTTCTCATGGATCTGTCCCACGCACAGTTTTCAGTGTTGTCGATCGCCTGGAGAGAAGGTAAAAGTGCGATGAGCGCCTTGCCCCAACTGCTTTCTTGATATTTCAGTGACAGGATGGCTCCCAGCGGTTAAGGTCGTGCGGGTGGCACGCCCAACTTTCTGACGCCAGATCCCCAAAAGTATTAAGCCTGGAAACCGGAAGTGGCCCCTGCAACACACAGCTTCACACGCCGCTGGATGCGAAATCCCAAATCCATCCGAGCCGCTTTGCCTCTGAGCAGGCCCAGAATCGCGTTGTGCGAGCCATACTCGTTGGCCTGCTGCAAAATTTGCCCCGCTGCCCCACGTTCGCACATGAGCACATTGTCATATGGGTCTGTCTTAAATGAATGGGGAGCCCCCAAAAGTGGGTGAAATAAAAGGGATCCCCAAAGTGGGTCTCTACATGCAAAAAGGAAATCCCGAGTGTAGATGATGTCCCTTTGGTGTGGCTTCCCTTCAAGACTATCACGAGAAGGGTACTAACACGGAACACATGGCACTAGAAAGACACCCCAACCAAGCGAACAATTGCCTAAGTCAAACCTCCTTGACGCTGGAAGCTCAACTTGTCAACAACTCTGAAGTTCCGACATAGCTTCGTGTCTAGCACAGCTGAGTGGGACCCGCGAGACTCAGCCGAAACAACAAAGCATGGAAAGAAGAAGTCAGCTGACTGGTTGATTCAGCCCGTGGTCCTAATGTTTGGAACCAACAAGAACCAAATCAGGAGTTTCAGGTTCTATGGTCCTGGTTGGTTGGCTACTGTCTCATTTGCAAGAGCCCTGGAACTTAAACCCTCAGCGTGGTGGCATTCCCCGAAACTGTTGCGCTTTAAGAACATACTTGGGCAGAGTGGTGTTTAGAGAATCGCAGAAATTCTGGGAGCCTGCGCTGCCAAAGCCGGCGGCTAGAATTTGTGGAATGGTTGCTGTCAATGACTCTTGGCTAGCGGCCTTCGAGCCCTTATGGCGTTCACCACCAATTTGCCAAGCGCTTTGCCCTGTTGCCCTGGAATATATCGCATGCTGGATGCCATCCTAAACGAAGTCTGGGAGGGACGCGTGCTCACCAAAGCCCATCTAAGAAGGTTCCAAGAACAGTTCCTGCCCTCCCT